ACTTTGCAGGCTCCACCTCCTCATCCCTCTTAACCTTGGGCCTTTCTTCTCCCACACTTGCTCTTTGGGTGGCCACATCCAGTCTCAAGCGTTTATCTGCAGCTGAGACCTCTGCCTTGAACTCTCTAGACTTTTCTATCCAACTGCCTGTCTTCCTCTCCACTGGGATGTCTGGAAGCCTTCTCAAACCCAGTGTGTCCCAGATCGTCCCCCGCAGCCTGCTCTTCCTTCATTCTTCCCTGTTGCAGTTAATGAAAACTCCGTCAGTCCACATGCTCACACCACCAACCTGGGAGACATCCTTGGCCTCTAGCTCACATCCACGTTCCATCCATCAGCAAGTTATAGTCTCTCCACTGAGAAGAGATCCGGAATTTGACCCCTCCTAAGACTTCTACCCGAATCCCCTCCCCTCACCCAGGCCACGATCATCTTGCACCTAGATTATTTCAGCAGCCTCCGAAGTGGTCTGTCTGCTTCCACGCCTGCCCCACTCCTGCCCCCTTCAGTCTGTTCTCAACACAGCAGCCAGAATGCTGCTATTAAATTGTAAGTCAAATAGCGTCCCTCCTCTTCCCGGAACCCTCCAGTGGCGCTCTGTCTCACTCTGAGTAAAGGCAGGTGCTTTCAGCAACTGAAAGGCCTTACGAGGTCTGCACACTCTCGCCAGCGTCTGCGCCATTCCTTTTGCTCAGCCTTCCAGCCACCCTGGCCTTGCTGACCTGGCAGCCTGGAGATGTGCTCCCGCCCCAGGGCCTTTGCCCTTGCTGTTCTTTCTGCCCGGGATGTAGTTCCTCAGATAGCATACGGCTCATTCCTCTGCATCCTTCAGCTTCTCGCTCAAATGTCCCCCCAGTGAGAGCTCCTCCAACACTGTGAAAATTGTAAGCCCTTCCCTGACTCATTTCTCCCAAAGCACGTTCCACCTCCCAGTACACTTTATACATTCCCTGTTTATTTTCTTTATTGTCTGTCTCCTGCATCAGAGTGTAAATTACAGAGAGGCAGAGATTTATTTGTTTTTTTATTGACATAAATACTTGTTAAATGAATGAAGACAGATTTGACTACATAATAGGTAAATTCTCTGTACTACAAAAGACCACATAAACTAAATAATTACTTTCTAAAATTTGTCCCTACATTTACAATGAAGTATCACATGGGTAATATAGAAAGAGCTCCTAGAAATTAATAAGGACAAAGCAAACAACCCCATAGAAAATTGGGAAAAGGACATTGAACAGGCTTTCTTCAGAAGACAGACAGAAATGCCAGTGAAGATGAAAGGTGCTGAGTCTCATTAGTAATCGGGGAAATAGAAATTGGAACGGTAAAATAGTTTTCATCTATTAGATTGACACAAATTACAAGGATTCATGACACCGAGTGTGATTAAGGCTATAGAACATCAGATTCCTACACGACTGGTGAAAGTACGTGTTGGCACAGATTTGGAGGGTCCTGATGGCTGTGTATTTTCTTCATTCAGCAATCTGTCTACCTACCTAGCTTATAAAAACACTTGCAGATGTGCACAGAGGTGTAGATACAAGGCTATCCATTGTAGCACTGTTGTTAATAAGAAAAAAATGGGGAATAATTTGAACCTCCATCAAGTCTTTAAAAATAGATCACATAAGTCATGTTAAAGGTCTATACAAAATTACAGAGCTGTGTGAGAAAAAGAACCTAATCTATTCTGACAGCATCCATTCTAAATTTTCTAAATTTTTATTAAGTTCTACTTTAGTTTTAAAACAGAAATGATGTAAAACCTTACCGAAAATACACCAGCATAGGTAGTATACCCATACTATGAAGTATTCTGCAGCTTTCGAAAGAGTGACCTAGAGCTGTATATACATAGGGGAAAGATTTCTGAGGCATCGGTTAGATGGAGAAACCAGTTGCGATATATTGATGTTTAATCCCACTTTATGTAACAGGCTCCAGTGCTGTTTTCTGTGTCCATTAATACGAGTAAAAGTGCAGAAAACCACCTGGGAGGCCACCAACCAGCCAGTTAACGAGTTTCCTTGGGGTTGGGAAGTAAATGCAGGGGGAGGAGATCTGCTCCTTCTGTATCTGAATTTCTACAAAGAAAAATATTCATGATTAACTTTATAATTAAAAAAAAAGGTAATGCTGTTTTCTCTAAATGACAAAGTTTTAGAAAATGTTAAAAAGCAACTAAATTGGAGATTGCTGGGAAACTATTCTTAAGCAATCCCTGACTTGCAAATATTTAACACTGGAGATTTCAGATATTTGTGAGTGATCCCAAAGACTAATAATATTTAATAGTCTTTCATTTGTCTGAGGCACAAAAATTAACAACATAAACGAGGGTTCAGGAGTGAGTCCCGAGGCCTGTGGTTGGGCCTCCTCACCATTTATTGTTGAATAAATGGAGAAATAAGTTGTAGCGGTGTCCCTAGAGTGATCGCTGTATTTATGAGAAAAATGGGCCTAGAAAACCAAAGTGGTTGGCCAGTGCTAGTGGGGACCATGAAGAGGGGTGTTAGGAAGTGATGGATCTCAACAAAAATAAGGGTTTGCTATTAGAGTCCAATGTCAAACTCAATGCTGATGCAGATCTGTAGAAAGAATATGCTCCCTATAAAAATTTATATATATATATATTCATTAAACTTTTAGTGAATGTAGCAGCCAGAGCAAAGAGGCTTTTTAACAGAAATTATGATCCATAGTAAAATTTCTCAAATTTGATTTTTTGAGAAGATCTTGAAAGATTTCTCTCTTGAATATTAAGGGTCAACTGTAGTTAGCTGAGTTTTTCCATTAATGAACCTCCCTTCTCAGATCCAAAAAAAATCTTCAAAGTCCTCTAGCCTACCAATATTTGGTATAATATTTTGAGTTCTTTTAAAAAAATTTTATCTGAATGGCTGTAATTAATAAGACAAGAAGTAAGTGTTGGAGAGGATGTGGAAAAAAGGGAACTCTCAGACGCTGCTGGTGGGAGTGCAAACTGGTGCAGCCACTATGGAAAACAGTATGGAGATTCCTCAAAAAATTAAGAATAGAACTACCATACAATCCAGCTATTTCACTGCTGGGTATTTATCCAAAGAACATGAAAACACGAATGCGTAATAATATATACTACTCCTGTGTTCATTGCAGCATTATTTACAATAGCCAAGACTTAGAAGTAACCTAGGTGCCCATCAAGGGACAAATGGATAAAGAAGATGTGGTATATATACTCAATGGAATACTACTCAGCCATAAAGAAAACAATGAAATCTGGCCATTTGTGACAACATGGATGGACCTTGAGGGTATCATGCTAAGAGAAATATCAGAGGGAGAAGGTCAAATACTGTGTGATCTCACTCACAAATAGAAGATAAAAACAACAATAATCACATAGAGACAGAGATTGGATCCGTGGTTACCAGAGGGGAAGGGGGGAGAGAGGAGGGCGAAAGGAGTGATTAGGCACCTGTGTGTGGTGATGGTTGGTAATTAGTCTTTGGGTGGCGAACATGATGCAATCTACACAGAAATCGAAATATAACACTGTACACCTGAAATGTATATAATGTTATGAACCAATGTTACTGCAATAAAAAAAATGTTTTAAAACATAAAAGTAATATACATCTGGAAAAGTCGGAAAATACCAAAGAAATACCGAAAGAAGTAAGAGAAAAAAATAATCCAGCATCTTACTGTATAAAGAGAACTGAAATATTAGCCTGTTTCCTTTGATTTCCATGTAATTTTGTCTTGTTTTATGCAGTTAGAACTGCATATAATTTTATGTCCTTTTTCATTTGTAGTGTCACTTTTGTCTGTGAAAGCTCCCTCAGTGTATGCATTTTGCTGACCACATAATACTCTTCTGAGTGGTCCTACCATAACTGAACTACCCCCAGGTTTTGATGGATGGGTAGGTTGCAATTTATGCTTTTATAAGTAATACCTGATTTTTATTCCTAGAGCTTTTTTTCTATTTCAGATTATTGCCTTAGATAGATTTTAGACTTAAATGTTAAAGGCTCTTGATAAATAATGTCCCAAATTACTTTCAAAAACCATAACCTTTATTTTAACGATGAAGAAGCAGAAGCTGAGAGAGAGCCAGCGTGCTGGGGGCAGAAGCAGCCCAGGGCAGCGACATCCTGACATCTGAGCCTGTCCTCTCTTCTGCAGGCTGCTGCCTCCCTCTGGGGATTTAAGCAGAGCAGCGTTCTTAATGACAGCGCTTCCTGCAGCCCTTTTCCAGCTAGTAAACACTGAGAGGCAGGCAGGGCTGTGCGATTGCTCTGCTGTTAGCTGTGGGCCAGGATGGCTGGGGATGCCAGGACTGGTGGCATTTCAGCTCCTGCTTTTACAGCTGAAGTAACACAAAGGCGCAGGCCGTGTAAAAGTCTTTTCCCTACATAGAACTATTCCTGTTTGTGGTTTACTATGCTGCCTTTTAAAATTAATGAGTAATATTGTTAAGTGTGATGGTCTGGCTGGGCTCGACTCCCTATGTAGGATTCTCCAGATCTCGACTGACCACGTCTCCAGGCTTCTCCCTCCCCTCCTCTTTGGTGCTGCAGGATTCTGGAACTGGCAGTCTATCTGCCACTCTGTGCCTTTGCACATGCAGTCCCCTCTTGGGGAACATACTCCCCGTTCTCCACATCCTCTGCAAGCCCCGACCGTCCTTCAGACAGACTCCTGGCAGCCTTCCAACACCCTCCCCAGTCGGACCTCAGCACCCTGACCTGTCGGTTCCTCCTCCTGCCCTGTGCCTTTCCACATGGACGTGGCGCTTGCCTCACTGAGCGCTGTGGTTTGCTCTTAGGTGGCCTTTGTAACTTGCCTAAGAGCAACTCTCGGCCTCGACGTGTGTCTCATTAAGTCCCGTACCCTCTGCACCACATCCAGCACTTAGAAGATATTTTGCTGAGTTGTTTCCCTGCTCACTAACGCAGGTGAAGGTTCCGGGTTTGATGTTCTCTGTGGCTTTGTTTCAGGTCTTTCTGTCTGAGTGGAAGGAACACAAAGTTGCTCTCTCACGGCTCACCAGCCTGGAGCTGAAAGATGATTTCCTCCACGGGCTGCAGATGCTGAAATCCTTGCAGAGTCAGCATGTTGTCATGCTGCTGGGCTACTGTGAGGAAGACAACACTGTCCTTACGGAATATCACCCCTTAGGGGCCTTGAGCAACCTGGAAGAAACACTAAACCTTTCCAAGTACCAAAACGTGAACACGTGGCAGCACAGGCTGCAGCTGGCCATGGACTACGTCAGCATCATCCACTACCTGCACCACAGCCCCCTGGGCACGCTGGTCATGTGCGACTCCAGCGACCTGCGCAAGACGCTGTCCCAGTATCTGCTGACGCGGAACTTCAGCATCGTGGTGAATGACCTGGACGCCTTGCCCCTGCTCAACCGCAGCTCCGGGGCTTTGGTGAAGTGCGGCCACAGGGAGCTGCACGGCGATTTTGTGGCTCCAGAGCAGCTGTGGCCCTATGGAGAGGACATGCCTTTTCGTGATGATCTCATGCCCTCGTATGATGAGAAGATCGACATCTGGAAGATTCCAGACGTCACCAGTTTCCTTTTGGGGCACGTCGAAGGCAGTGATATGGTCCGATTCCATTTGTTTGATATTCATAAGGCATGTAAGAGCCAGGCTCCTGAAGAAAGACCCACTGCTCAGGACGTCCTGGACACCTATCAGAAGGTTTGGAACTTACTCAGAGACACCATGATATCTCAAACAAGAGAAATGCTATGAAACCAGGCCAGTGAGAGAGGGCTGGGCGTGGAGGAACAAATGCAACCGTTGCAGCAATTCCGCTCCCACGGAGTTTGCTGCTGTTTAGTGGTGTGGTTCTCGTTCTGCGTCCCCGTGCTCGCGTGAGGGTTCTCCCTCTCCTGGGGGCCTGGCGGAAGTTGCTAAGCAAGAGCAAACCCGCCTTGACTCAAGTCCGCCTTCACTTCCCGAGGCTGGTCTCTCCCAGGGGAAGATGCAGAGAAGCAGGAGTCTGACCAGCATCTGAACAAGGTAACAAAGACGGCGCTGCAAAGAGGCCTCCCTCCCTAATGACTGAATCTGTAAGCTTGTAAGAAATGTATAGAGAGAAGGTTTGTAAATGGCAGTCTATGAAAGAAACATAAAGTAATTCTCCAGAGAGTACTTTTTCCTCATTTTTTTAGATGGTGATCAACAGACGGAGTCCAGGGAGGATTTGTGCGCTGTTTCACGTGGTATCGGTGAGCATCTTTACTGTTTCGAATCATTGTTCTGTGAAGCTCCTGTGCCATCCTCCTTCCAGCGAGCTGGAGGAGAACTATGACAGATGCTCTTTGAAATTTTGAATGGATAAGGAATATTGCAAACAGCAAGTGTGAGGGAAATTAATCTAGGTTACTGCTTTGGATGGTGCTTGTGAAAATCCTGTTTACCTTCCAGCTAAGTTTTCTGTGTCCAAAATTAGTTACTGTGAACGTTTTACATCAGTAGTGTCACTCCTTCAGGTGTCAAGCCCTTCCACCTGAGTTGCATGATTGAATCCTTCAAAAGGCTCTCTTCTTGGTCCCTGTCATCGTCACTGGCAGGGGATGGTGGATCTGGTGCATCTTACTCATCACTAACCAGGTGGTCACAGCCGGCGCTGAGGGGCAAAGACGCTGTGCAGCAGACTCTGCCTCCCCTGTGCTCAGGCGGCGTCAGACTCACTGGGGTCACTGGAGCTGTCCCCACCCCACAGCCTCTGACTCAGGAGGTCTCGGGCAGAGTCTGAGACTCGGCATTTCCGCCTGGCTCCCAGGTGCTGCTGGTGCTGCTGCTCTGGGGACCACATTTTGGGAACCACTGCCGTTAACTGTCAGGAAGGAGCCACAGGCAGAGGATAGGGCCGTGCTGTCAGTATTGTCCGCTGTCCTGATGCCAGTGGGTGACGGGGCCCTGTGGCTGCTCAGAGAGTGCCTGCCCAGAGTCTTCTAACTGTCACTTTTGTTATAAAAACTCCACCGCAACCCACTATGCTGGCTGTGATCAAAAGTGTGGACAATAGTAAGTGTTGGCTGGGATGTGGGGAGTTGGAACCCTCCTACACTGCTGCTGGGAATGTAAAATGGTGCGGCTGCTTTGGAAAACAGTCTGGCTGTTCCTCTAAAAGATTAAAAATAGAGTTACCATAACCCAGCACTTCCATTCCCAAGTATTTACCCGAGAGAATTGAAAACATGTCCATAAAAACATTTGTACACAAATGTTCATAGCAACACTATTCATAATAGACAAAAGATGGAAATAAACTGAATGTCCATCAGCTGGTGGATGGATAAAGACAATGTGGTGTATCCACACAATGAGACATTATCCAGCCATAAAAACGAATGAATTTCTGATACGTGCTCCAACATGAATGAACCGTGCAAACACACTAAGTGATGTGGGAGGAGGTAATCGAGAGGACATGACCGCCACTTGACCCAAGAACTGGGCATTGGAAACATTCTCACCCCTCCCCGTCCTTGGAATGCACACTCCCCACCGTTCCCACAGCGGGGGTCATTTTCAGGGTCATGGCCTTGAGAGAGCACTGAGTCTCGAGACCATCTGGATGATCCAGGTCACTGAACCCCATTAAGGCCTCTACATAAACTTTGAAGATTCTGGTGGGCAGTGCGGAGGTCGTCTGTAGCTGCCCAAGACGAGCGTCGTCAGTAAGTTCCCTCACTGATTAAACCTGCCCCTCCCCATCGAGTGTCTGCCTCTTTCTTCCTTCTCTCTCTGCCCTCCGTGTGTGGGGCCACTGTGTGAACCAACATGTGACAGAAGCCAATCATGAAAGACCACGTGTTGCTGGCTTCCATTAGTATGAAATGTCCAGAATAGACAAATCCATAGAAATAGAAAGTAGGTTAGTGGTTTCCAGGGGCTGGCAGGGGGTCGGGGGTGAAGGATGGGGAGTGCTTGCTAATGGGTACAGAGTTTCTCTTTGGGGTGATGAAAATGTTCTGAAATTATGTAGTGGTTGTATCGTGGTTGCACAACTCTGTGAATATACTAAGTAACACTGAATTGTATAAAAAGGGCAAGTTTTATGGTATGTGAATTATATCTCAATAAAGCCGAAAAAACCCTACGTCTGTGACAAGGCCGTGTATCCCTCATGACTCTGCACTTGACGTGGCCTGTTGTCGTGTGGAATTGATTTGGGATTATCTGTTCATGTTGTAATTCTTGTTTGAGGGTTTTTCTTAGCTTTTGGACTTTGCACTGGAGCAAAACTAACAGTTTCAAACAAATGTCTTTTTAAATATTGACAGCCAAGCTAAAATAAACAGCATGGTGTGGGGAAGGGACCCCGCTAGGATGAGAAGACCTGAGTTAAGTCCCAGCACTGCCTGGATTCTTTGTGCGGCCTCAGACAAAACCATCTCTCGAAAGGGAGTCGTGGGAGCCATTCCGGCTCTCGCTCTGCCTCTCCATGTTCTCTCTGAGGCTTTATAATGCCAGAGCCAGACCCCAGACTGGACTTGCCTGGCGGCGTTCAGTCTTTAGCTTGTGCTCAGATATAATTCAGTGCCAACAGAAGTGCAAAATCACAAGAGGAAGTTACGTTCTAAGTAACACTTAGCTGGGGGTTCATTGCCCCCGTAGCTGCGGCCTCACGTTCGGCAGAGGTGTAGTCAGGAGGAGAGGCAGACAAGGTGAGCCGTTCTCAAAGCGCAGCCAGCAATTCAGTGCTCCCTCCCTGCTTACCTTAGTCCAAGTGTTAAAGAAAAAGTCGCCCCCCGTACGGTTTATAGTGTGCTTTCTCACTGTCTCCTGTGACGCTACAAACACTGTAAGCCTCGGGGCCTCCAGCGATTGATAACGATTCAGTAGACGCAGAACACGTGGGTGTCCCCAGAGTGAGGCCCCCGCAGGTGGAGTGAGGTGGAACGCTTGTGTCACACAGCTCTCCATGGAAAGGTCCTCTGGTGAATCCTCCTCAGTATTGTGTTTTTATTTTTTTATTTTTTGCTAAGGAAGATTAGCCCTGAGCTAATATCTGTTCCAGTCTTCTTCCACTTTATATGTGGGTTGCCGTGACAGCATGGCTGACGACTGGTGAGTAGTGTAGGCCTGCGCCTGGGCTCTGAAACTGCGGACCCAGGCCACCAAAGCATGGCGTGACAAACTGAACCACTGTGCCATGGGGCCGGCCCCTCCCCTCAGTATTTTAAAAATAAACATTGCTTAATTTCTCTAATCTCTATTCTCATATGACTTTTGATCCCTTAAGGGTAATTTAAAATGTGAAACCATGATTTTCCATCCCTTCGTAATATTTTGTGAGGACAAATAAAATGAAGGAAATACTTTAGATTCTTTGGAGATCTGCAACGTAGGTTGGAAGCAAATTCTAATAAGGAAGTCAGCAAGAGTTCTGCATCCATGTTTAAAGATTTTATTTATACCATAGGCACGCCTCCGGGTTTTGCTACCTGAAATTAACTCCTTTGGAAAGAAAATTTGGTTCATTAACTCCCAATTTCATGTGATCGATGTGTAGTAGTTCACATAAATAAGGTATAATATTCATTTTTACTTCTGAAAAGGACCTCGTGCCCGTTGAAACATAGCACAGTGTCTTCCAGAGTTCTCTTTGTTCTTTCACAAATGAACAGGACTGGTTTGTGACTACGGAGAGCCCTGAAGAGTGTTCTTGGGCTCCCGGGTCAGTCACTACTGACAGACGCCCCGACCCTCAGGGTTCTCAGCTACACGTGTAATATGTAAGCTATAGCCTATGCCATAGTTCAGTTTTTTAGCTTGGCAATTTTTTTTTTTTTTTGGAGGAAAATTAGCCCTGAGCCAACTGCTGCCAATCCTCCTCTTTTTGCTGAGAAAGACTGGCCCTGAGCTAACATCCATGCCCATCTTCCTCCACTTTATATGTGGGACACCTACCACAGCGTGGTGTGCCAAGCGGTGCCATGTCTGCACCCAGGATCCGAACCGACGAACCCCGGGCCGCCAAAGTGGAATGTGTGTACTTAACCACTGCACCACTGGGCCGGCCCCAGCAATTGTTATTAACTTAACCTTTTAAATGGGTTCTTAGAAGTTAAAGGAGGTAATAAATTGTCAAACAACAATTCAGACTTTGCCAGATGTTAGAGTTTTCTTATGAATAAACTTTTGAGGGTTAATTTTTACTTATTCTATTGACAAAGTAGCCAGCTCAGGCTGTTATAATGCTTTCAGGAGATCACTCAATAGGCATTTCATAAGGGTTTTTCAGGGCTATTTGGATTATTTAAGGACTAGTAATTGCAGAATTATGTCAGGATTCATTCCATTACAACTGGGTAAAACGGTTCAAATTCTGAAGTAAGGTGACTAAATTACATTCATCATAAAAAAAAAACAGGCATATAGTGTGTATGTATAGCCCACATTAAACAGTGGTATATTCCTGTAAACTAAATTGATTTTTTTTCTTTTAGGTTATCATTTAAAATTTCAAGGGGGACACAGTGGAGGTCTATTTTACCTTTAGGGAGCAGACCATTGGTTTTATCATGTTTATGTGATTAGACATGATAGGTGGAACAGACATTTATCTCTACTCCCTTTTGAAACCAAATTAAAATGGGAGAAAATAAATAAACAGGTATAAACCATAAGGCCAAATATGAAGCAAGACCATTTGTGCCTCAGAGCTCTGCAAAGCCTCTAAAATTCAGAGCTGAATTCTTTGGAAGAGGGAGTAAGGAGTGGGCTGAAAGCTACAACAATTGGTTGAAAGTTGCTGTAAAGAAGTTAGACTCCAGATCCCCTTCACAAACCACTTTGAGTCAGGATACGACCTCCCGTCCTCAGCAGGAAAGGGGACAGCTCTGGGGAAAGTGAACTAGAGAGTTGCTAGACTCACAGGTGTAGCTTGTGTTGGGGGTAAGGTCTCTAATGAAAATGGAGGGATTGCCTGAAATGCTACACGATGGTGAGACCCTACAGTGCTAGTAGCCAGGTTCATTACTGCACCTTCTCCACCAGTCAGGAGATGAGCATTTCTCTCTAGAAAAACTGTGCCCCAAAGAAGAGGTTTATTTCCCAATGAAATTTCTGGATCTGCAACCAAAAAACCCATCAAGCAACAAGACACTCCCATCCCCCAAGCACACCCACATCTTCCATTTTCCTTTTCATTTCCTTATTCTTGAAGCGGACAGATAAGGATAATCAGACACTTGAAAGAAGATTCCGGTTCATGAAAACAAAATAGAACCTTCAAGGAAAGTGAATGCAGGCAGCAGAAATCCTCAAACAAACTGTAATAAATATTATCAGAGAGCTAGAAAGAGATGAGAGATGTAACAATGGACGTGACAGAATGGAGAATGTTCAGAGACCAAGGAAAAGCTCTTGGAAATTAAAAATATGGTCCTAGAAATTAATACTACAGAAGAGTTAGAAGATAAAATTGAGGAAATCATCGAGTAAACAGAACAGAAGGAGATAAAGGATAAGACAGTTCAAGAGTCAGTCCTACAGTTATAGTATTAAGAGGAATTCTAAGAACAGAAAAATAGGAGGAAATAATCAAAGAATCATATCAAAACTTTCCCAGAGCTGAAGAAAATAAGATTCTAGGTTGAAAGTGTCAGTTGAGGACTTGGCACAATGAATGAAAAAAAGACCCACAACATGAAATTTCAGACCACTAGGGATAAAACAATGCCAGAAGTTTCCAGAGAAAATACTTTTCTAAATGAGAATCAGCATACTGTCCTATGTGTCAATAGCAGTGCTGGAAATTATATTGGATAAGATGCCTTAAAAATTCTGAATGAATATTATTTCAGCCTAAAACTCTATGTCCAAAGTTTCAATCAAGAATGAAGTAAAACAAAGACTTCAAAAAATTTTAAACTGGAAATAATTGTGGATTCACAAGATGTTGCAGAAATTCTACAGAAGGGTTTCATGTACCGTCCAGTTTCCTACAACAAAGACATGTTTTTGACCAGCACTCTTTCTTAGGAAGCTGTGTAAAATTTGCTCTGACAAAATGAGGCACACTGAAGAAGAGGAAGCTATGGGATCCAGGAAACAAGGGGGCACCTGCACAGAAGGGAGGCAGAGGGGTTTCCCAGGGCAACGTTGAAGGAAAGTCTCAGGACCACAACCTAGTGGGCAACCAATCCGATGGGAGCAGGATCACTAGAAACCTCCAGCAGGAGTGACTCCCAGAAAAAAAGGAAGTGGCAGGTTACCTGATGTGTTTGATAGTATTTCTAGGATTTCTACAGCTATGTTAGAGAGGTAGTGGAAGGATTAATGGCAGGAAAAGAGGAAAATATTAACTGCTCCCTCCCAAAAATTATGGTACGGTTTTTTTAATCAAAGAAAAAATAATTATACCAGGGGAACCATTTAAAGGAATTCAGGGGTTGGGGGATGGGGGGGGGGGAAGCCATTAAAATAAAGGAAGCTTGGATGATGTCCTGCTTAGATCAAAGATGCTTTATAATGGGAATGATCACTTCTTATCTTTTATGTGAGTTTCCTATTGCTGCTGTAACATCTTACCACAAACGTAGTGGCTTGAAACAATACAAATTTATCATCTTACCATCCTGGAGGTCAGGAGTCCAACACAGGTCTCCCTGGGTTACAGTCAAGGTGTGGGCAGGGCTGACTCCTTCTGGAGGCTTCAGCAGAGCATCTGTTTCCTTGCCTTTTCCAGTTTCTAGGGGCCACCCCCTTTTCTTGGTTTGTGACTCATAAGACATGATGTTGAAGACAAGTCATTTGAAAGTATCCAGTCAGAGTAGAACAAAGAAAAAAGAATGAAAAAAGAGTGGAGAAAGCCTATGTGAATTATGGAATACCATCAAGAGAAACAATATATGCATTATTGGAGTCCCAGAAGGAGAAGAGAAGGAGAAAGGGACAGGAAGCTTATTTGAAGAAATAATGGCTGGGAACTTCCCAAATCTGAGGAGAGATTTGAACATCCAAGTTTATGAATCTCACAGGTCCCCTAAAAGATTCAACCCAAAAAGATCTTCTCCAAGACACATTAAAATAAAACTATCTAAAATCAAAGACAGAGAATTTTAAAAGCAGCAAGAGAAAAAAGTCCTCACGTACAAGGGA